TCTCAACTCCCAGGTTTTCTATTTAGTTGTGAACACTGCATTTGCCATATTGTTTTATTGTCCTGAAGATATATTTTAGTTGGATTTTTGTTTTTTTGCAATTAGATGCACATTTTTATCCTTCAGTGATTGAAGACTGGATTTAATGTACTCTGATCTATGTTTAGGATCAGGATTTTTTGGATTTCTTGGCAGTAGATGCAGCATTTTAAGGACATGGTTAAAGCAGGTTGTTGCAGGAATTCAGCATGAAACTTCTCTAGGATAAAATCAAAAAAGGTTGTGCATCTTTGGTAAATTGCATATAAGAGCCCAGGGTCCTATGGATCCCATTTTTTATACTGGCCACAGCAGAAAAAAGTTAGGCTTCATATTGTCCGAATTAAGTCCATTATCAGTTAGTAACTAATGATATATTACATTTTAATTCAGGCTAATAAACAAAGCAACTTATTCATTTTATGCTGAATCTGTTTTTCGTTTAAAAAAAATTATTAATTTGAAAAAGGATTATTTAACTTTAAATATCTTTTAAAAAAGGACACACCTTGGAAAAACCTTTGTATAAGTGGTCCAAAACATGTTTCTTTATTTGGTTGTGTTGGCAGGTAAAGGGCTTATTTAGGGATGTAATAAATCAAAATAACATAAATTTACTGAGTCACTTTCCTCACAGGCTTTTATAGCTTCAAATTGTTCAGGAATTAGCAGAACTTCAAGCTGTTTGTATTTTATTAAGTGTTTCTGTGAGTGCTTCTGCCAGATAAGCTTCCCAGCTTCTCTGTGTTGTTTAACAGACTACTGCTAAAAGCAGTAAATATGTATGCAGTGCTGCTAAAAGTGTTTACCACTCATGCATTTCTGCTGTTTTGTCATAACTAAAAGTGTCTGTTCAATTCGGTTCAAAAATACCGTACAAACTCCAAGGACAATTAAAGAGTTCTAATTCATATTATAGGGCTTTCTTCAATGAGTAATTGATGCTGATGGCTGTAGTCTGGAAGGATCTCCTGTAGTGATCTGTGTTTACAGCAGCCTCTGACTGAGCGAGTCTCTTAATATATATGACAGCATCATCTTCATCAGACTAAGGGTCGTCTCTGATATTTTTACTTTTTATAAAGAAATCTTCTTTTGTAAAGTAATTTCTAAAGCTTTCCATTAAAGTTTTTAGAACACAGTCGGTCATCATTATTAGCCCATTTTATTGAGCTATAGTGGAGGATGTTTTATTCCGCAGTGGATCCTCAAAATAAGTGGTCCAATGGTCCAATAAGTGGTGATATGTTTATGTAAGGCTGTCCTACGTGCTTGTCCCCATTTTCACTTATCGGTGGGGCTGGGTAAAAAAAATCGATTTAATCGATTTTGAAAGGATTCCTTTACATTTTTGCAAAATCGATGACTAGGAAATGAGATCGATTCGTTTTATAGTGACGTGCGTGACGTTCACATTCAAATGAGCAGGAAAGATGCTCTCAAGATGACTTCGAGCCAGACAGCTGCAAATATAGCAAATAGCTGGACTGAAAACATTAACAAATGGGGACTGACCAACATACACCCTGTAGTTGATACACGCAACGCTACAAATATGGTTTGTACAGTGGAGACAATGCAGCTCATGCATGTCTGCTGTGTCACGTCTGCTTGCTCGAGTGAGGCTTCACTTTTTCACTTTTCACAAACAAGTTTGCACTTTTGAGACAATTTTGTTCACATCTCAAGTTTAAACTGTCAGATTTACAGGTTTGAACTTTGTGTTTAATAAAAGAAGAAAATAAAATACATGAGTATTTGGAAACACAGTTGAACCACTTTCATTATTGTGAAAACAGATCGAATCGAAATTAATCGATTTAGAACTATATGAATCAAAATCGAATCGATTCAGGACTTTGGCGAAAATACCCAGTCCTGCTTATCGGTGGTGAGTCTGACAGAGTTGAAAAATTGCTAATCTTCTTTTGGAAAGTAAACTTTTAAACAGAGCATCCACGAGGAGAAATTGGGCTTGTGCATGCTCTTGCAACCGTTTAATAGGCGTTCCCTCTCGGCAGCAGGTACAGGGTTTTGCATTTTCTTTTTAAAGTGGAGAAGGCGGGTCTTTCAAAAATTTGCGAGAAACCTCCACTACACCTTTAAGATAATAACTGATAACACAATTTGGTACTAAAAGCGGTTTTTAAAAGATAATTTTATTTAAAATAAATTCTATCCAAATCATCCTATCCCAAACCCCAGCCTTTCCCCCAGCATTATGTTAAGCGTTGGGACTGCGAAATCAGGGAAAAACTGGAACAATTGTGAAAGTGAGGGACTATCCAACTGGCTACTGCAAGACTTCTTAGCTGAGTCATTGGAGAAGTTGCAAAAGAACTGGAAATGACACTTAAGGCACTGTGGACCTCACCTTTTCCTTGGTTAAGGTCAATGTTCATAATTTAGCAATGAGAAAGAGGCTGGCAAGATGCCATCCATGAAAGACTCACCAGGCAAAGCTACTGCTAATAGAAAAGAACACGAAGATCTCTTTGACATTTGTAAAACCCAACATTAGACTTAGACAGATTTACTTGTCATTTTGTTTACACAAGTGTAAAACAAAAATAAATTTTCGCTTAGAACAGCTCTATGAACAATTTCATTTTTTTTAAAGTGCAGCCTTGAAATATAGTAAAAAATATATAAAACTTATGACTGTAAATTTACAGTTCTAACATTTTCAGTTGTTTTTTTTTGTTTTGTGTTTTTACATTGACATCCCAGTAACACGAAGATTGTTTTACATATACTGCGTGAGCCCTGTTATATTGGGTATAAAAGAAACAGTATTTCAGGACACGAGCATCGCAGCAATACCCAAATATGGTTTAGCTTGGTTTGAGTAGCTTCTTTTTTATTTATAACTGAACTAACTTCTTTAATTGATTGATCTGTAAGATCTAAGTTGATGGGAGGAGAAGTTTCACTGCACACAGCTTTAAAGCTATAGAAGTTGTTTGAAGTTGTCACTTGGGTTACACTTGAATGTTGTACTCTGTTTCATTACTCTGTCTTAAATAAACATTTAAACCCAACGTGGATGCTTGCATTCTTTAGAGACTTCTCGGTGCCTGATCGCTGCCCTTATGTTTTCTACATTTTATCAAAAGATTCAGGTGTCGACTATTAGATCAGGTTCTAGAAGTCATTGCAGATACCATCTGCAGTGGGATTAGCAAGTGACTCAGCCTTATGAAGAAGACTTATCACTTTCATCTCTTATGGGGAAAAGCTAACATCAGCTGCCAGGACCCACTGTTCTGACCTGCTGGCAATTGCACAAATGGCGATGGTATGTGTAGCTGGGAAAACAGAAACAAATGATGACCCGTGCAGATATCACTGATGTTGATGTGCTGAGAGGCTTCAGTGTTTGATGCAAGAAAAAACAAGGATCACCTTTTTTTCCCCTCGTGGATGTAACTAGTGCTACATATCTGAAATTGCTTTTCCGCTTTACCTCACCTTTGATGAGGAAAGTCTGTTTGAACTGGGGTAATGAATGATTTAGATATACTCTGTGCCATTGTTTAGTTTGGGGTCAGTCACACAGTAATTACCTCTGGAGCAAAACAAAGATAACACTTTTAAATATTTTATTTATAGAATATTATCCAACAGGACTGCTTGCTTTGTGATTATAGCAACAGAGACTCAAGTTAGCTGCATGAAATGATTCGCAGTAATTGAGTTCTCACCTATTTCTTTCTCTGTCCTCGTTTGCCTCCTTTAATCTCCTGCCACACAGTTTCTCACCCTGGTGGATGTTTACGCCCCCTATTGGGACTCTGCTTGATTATACTGATGGTATATAGAAAAATAAACAAATCTATTAAGCAAGTAGATTTTATGTGTAACAGTTTAGACCGATTTGGTATGTGGTTGAATGTTAGGCTCTTTATGTTTGAATCCTGTTACAGTTTTATTCAATTAAAACCTCTATACTATTGAGTAAAAATAAAATTATTATTATAAAAGTTATACTGTTTTTTTTATCCACTTTTATTAATGTAACCCATCCCATCTTGTGTAATTTCCCTTTTCATCATCATTTTATTATTATTATTATTATTTTTTTTTTTTTTTTCACTATAAGGAAAAGAGAAGGCACAGCATGGGATTAGTGGGACCATGGAGGGTGGCTGTGGGTTTGGATGTTGGTTTTTGGTCTTCCTGCTTTGCTGTCCATATGAATATAGGGAGAACTTTAATGTTCTGTTTTGAGGAAAAAAAGAAAATAATAATAATAAGCCATAAATCTATTTAAAGAAAACTCCTACACTATTGCATAAAAAAAATGATAACCCCAAAAGGTTTATTGAAATATTGTGGCCTGGAAACCAAAAAAACGCAGCTGGCTTAACAATTTTCACTAGACTGCAACTGACGTATATGTGTACAGCTGCTACTTTTTTAACTAATCTGTTAAGCAGTGGATTTTATGCTTTATAGTTTAGACCGATTTGTTATGTGGTTGAAAGTTAGGCTCTTTAAGTTTGAATCCTGTTACAGTTTTATTCAATTAAAACCTCAGTAGTCTGAGTAAAAATAAATTGAATTACATTTTTTTTATTTTTTGTTTTTTTGTGGTGAGGTTGGAGAAATAAAAGGTGTGTTTTTTTTGTTTTTTTTTAGGTTAGAGGAAGCTGTTTTCAAACAAGGATGTGTTTTAGAAATCAAAAAGGCATTGAAATAGGGTTTCTTTATCGCTTTGTTCTTTATATACTGGTTGCTTTCTTTTATTAAACTGCTTTTTGTATTTGTTCATTTTGAAAAACGAATATACTTGGGTATATTCACCCGAAATCTAGAATATAGGTTTTGCTTATTCCTTTTTTTTTTTTTTTTTTTTTTTAAAGCAGCTTTCTTTATTACAATTTTTCTGTACTACAACACAAGGACTATGTAATTTATTATTATTTTTTAAAATTTGCTTTTTTTTCCTCTCCTCACAGGTGCGGATTGAAACGGCTACAACACTAAAGCTGAATATCCTCACTATTCAGAAAAGGATCAAATGTTCCATCTGTTATAAACTTATAGATTTTATTGTTGCAGACTTTACAGTATGTGTTCAGAGTGTACAAACGTTGCTTTGTTTTTAGTCCATCCAATGCAGTAAATGTTTATCCATAACTCAGAATCACCTGTTGATGACTTTGAGTTCCGGACAGAACAATTCCTTCCAGTAAGTAGCTCTGAATCAACTTCTTTTGGAATGAAGCTTTGTTTGTGGTTCATCCTCTTAATTAATCTTGAATGTTGTGTGTCTGTTTTTAGTACCTGGAGTCCATCTTTGGGCTGCTCTTCCAGCTGCTGCAGCAGGTGACAGAGTGTGACACTAAGATGCAGGTGCTCCATGTTATCTCCTGCGTCATCGAGAGAGTGAACACCCAGGTGAGTTTGTCATATTCTAAACTTTTACAGCATAGTTTAGAATATGACAACATAGTTTATAATAATATATAAATCATTTGAATATATCAAAATTGATGAGTTACTGTATAATAACTTGTTTCTTTTATTTTGTTTTTATCTTGAAAACTACAGCTATAAAAAACAAAATAAAACTGTGTTTCTTAAAATATTACAATAATATTTGCTGTTTTGAATTTATTGCAGTTGTCTTTTAAATTTGAATCTAACTAATCATTTCTATTAAATTTTTGTATCCACTTTTAATGTTGCCAATCCCATCTTTTGGAATTTCCCTTTTTATTATCATCACTATTATTATTATTATTATTATTATTTTTTTTTTTTTTTCACTATAAGGACAAGAGAAGGAACAGCATTGTGCAGGATGATTGGTGGGAGCATGTGGGGTTGCTGTGGGTTTGTTGTGGGTTTTTGGTCTTCCTTCTTTGCTATCCATTGTAATATAGGGAGCACTTTTATTTTTATGTTCTGTTTAAAAAAACAAACAGTAAAATCTATTTAAAATAATATGAAAATACAGCATAAAATAACAATGTGAACATTGCTGGCTTTCCACTACATTGCATCTGACAATTGGCCACAAAGATACATTATGCTGCCTGTTTACCACTCTATGTACAAATATATGTATACAGAACGACGATTGAAAGGAAGAAATGTAGTAAAACAGGAAGACGAGCAACATTGATTTAAAATTTTCTGAGTGATTAACCAGTTTTTTTCTGTTTTTGTTCTTTATTCTTATGTATTATTGTTTCTTTATTACAAATAAAAAAAAAAAACAAGGCATGCACAATCTGACATTGTAAGTTTAAAAGGATACTTAAACCTGAATTAGATAAAAACAAAACCAGATAAATTCCACTCATAAATTACGCAGCACAGACGAGGAGGTTGACTATTTGTGACCAAACTGTTCCAATGTAAATCCCATAGATAAACAATGACGTTTGGTCAAGGAGTAGCTTAAGCTGGGTGTACACTGTGCGATTTTTTTCAATCGTTGCACGCAGCTGCTGCTCATACTATACGACTAATCGCAGGGTTTAGTCGTACATTGTGAGCTCACAGCTCACAATTTATGTTCAGCCAGACGCTCTGATGCTATCTACCTGCTCACACTGTACGACTAAAAACCACGTTGGGCTCCACAGTGAGATGGAGCTTCTCTGTAGCTCTCTATCCTGAAGCCAAACAATTAGAAAGTGAATATTAAGCTCACTATAGCAAACTGTGCTGCCTTCGCAATTTGTGCAATTTTGTGCTGAAAGTCCTAAAAAGAAAAGCCAACGGTGTATTTGGAATAAAAGACATGGCTGAGCAAACGTGGCTACTACGGTCTGTCAATTTTACAGACAGAACTGCATTTCACTCATTGCATCCCTGCCATGCTGCTGTGTTTACATCTGAGAGGAAAAAGAAAAAGAAAAAACCTTGTTTGCGCATGCGCTCTGAGCGATTTGCCCACGATTCCTGATCGGGAGGTGGTCGTGAGAGGCTGCTTACCGCTCGTAACCCCCTGTACACTAAACGACTCACTGCGCACGATCAGGCTGAAAGTAGGCCCGATTGACAGATTCTCGCACAACTGGAAAATCACACAGTGTACGCCGGGCTTTAGATGAAGTCACTATTAAAGCAGCCTTGAAACCAAAGGTCCACAGGCTGATCACCTCTACGCTATGTTGCTTTAATGCAGCAAGTCAAGCAAAGTAGATCTCAGACTAAGTGGTAAGTAAAAATACTGTATAGTACAGGAAAAGGTTTCATAAAAAAAAAAAAAAAAGCTGAAAGCCATAATCTTCAAAATGATATGTAATAGTGGAAATCGAACACTAACAAATCCATATATAGTTTACTTTTAAAATGGATCTCGGAAATCATCTAAGTTTTTGATCATTTTTTGATTCATTGAGTTGCATCTGTAGATGTCTCAAGCAGGAAAAATGAAGTTGTGGTGAAAAATATGAAGGTGCCCTTGTGAAAGGGAGACATTCTGTTACGCTGTGATGAATAACTGCACAAATTGGAGGTATTGACCTGTACTCTGAGGGGAAAAAGTGACACACAGATACAAAACATTTGTCACTTCGTGCAACACTTGGACCAGAAAAGCCAAACAGCAACAAAACTTCACAGTAAGACAGAAATGAGTGATTTCCCAGTAATATTTTCAGTGCGTCTTAGCCCAATTCTTTTTAAATCACAAGGCCCCAGGCAGCTCTTGTTCTTACGTCTGCTCTAATTTTCCATGCGGGTACAGTCATCTTTCTGCACTGCTTTTATGGTCATAAGGATTCCATTTTTTCTGAGTATCAATCTAATCCATTTAACTGTCAGCCCTAAAAATAATGACCGTCTCTCGACCCCCTGCTGTTTTCCCTTTGATTTATTTTTTAATGATACATTCTTAGTACCTTTGCCTACATGATTCCTTGACTTAAATCTGTCAAATGTGTTACTTTGATCCTAGTGGACTGTCATTTTGTTGACGTCTTCACCAGTTGTTGGCACTGGCTAAATTTTGTGAGTCGGTTGAAGTCACATTAATATTCTAGATCCCCTCACAGAGGATTTTGAACCCACACTGAGTGGCAGAAGTTGAAGAGAAAAACCCTCAGCAATGAAACCATGAGTGTAGCTTGAATTGAAATGAACACGATGACAGATGTGTGATTTAGCTCTTTTTTCACTGTCAATCTCGCAAATGTCACCCTAGGCTGGTTAGTGGGTCTGCTTTTCCTCACTTTTTATCTCTGTCCTCGGGGCTCTATGTCACGTTTTTTTTTATTTTATTATTTACTGTTCCCTTGGCTTCCAACTCGCTCTCTACTAAGGTGTAATTGAGCTAAAAAGAAATAAAAAATCCCAGTGTGGGGTTTGCAGCACGGCGCCGCTGCATGTTTAACACCATGTAGAAGGTTACAGTTAGTCAAAGTGGAGATTTCTGAGGTTTCATTTGGTTTTATTGCAATATGTTGCACAAAAATAGAATGTTAACATACACGTTTTGTGTGACTATAAGAACCTTCATAATGCCATCCAGAAATATTGTTGTTGGGGAAGCATGATATTGGAAATTTGGTCGATATGCCAATACTTTACAACTCAACTAACTGATAACAGATATTTTATTCCTTTGACGTACTTACAGACTCTATAGTTTTCTCACTTTTCAAAATATTTTTATATTTTACTGACATCTCTCTTGCATCAGAATATGACCCAATGGTGATGCAGGCATGACACTCACTTGTTTATCATAAAATCAATTAGTTAGATCGGTGGAATGTCAGATTTGAACTTTAACTCTAATATCTGCTGATGCTGATATTGATAACATTCTGATAATATCCTGCCTCCCTAATTATTAAGATTATTATAATGGTAAATAGGGCAACGAACAAATATTTTTCAAATCGATTTATTTGTTCATAATGTTTTCGATTAATCGATTAATAATTCGATAGCAAAAGTTTCCTTAAAAATATTATACAGAATTAAACCAGGTGAAAATAAAACTTTTCTACCTGAGGAGTTCTGGATAGAGATAATTGACAGAATTGTTTGTTTTCTTTTTCTAAAATGCTAAATTTTGGTATATATATATATATATATATATATATATATATATATATATATATATATATTGCAATTTTGATAATAATTACTACTCTAAGTATGTCGCTCTGTTAGCTTAAGACATGTTTTAGAGTCCCTATGCTCCAGTAAACAATGAATCGATTACTATTACGATTAATCCGACTAATTGTTTCAGCCCTAATGCTAAATGTTTGAAAGATCAAAGTGGTAAAATAAACGGTTTTTTTTTCCCTCCTCTGCCTTACATCCAGTTTGCTGGATAACTTTGTGACAAAGCATATTAGCAATGTAGATTTTGGATTTACTATAAAAAAAGATATGTGTTTCTTCAGCTTATATTTGTTATTTGCTCAAGACAAATGGGATTAAAACATTTATTGTAGCATTAAGTAGTTTTTAAGTTGTTTTTAAAGTATTTCTGGTGTGAAAACTGAAGCAGTTCCAGACATTTATTTTGTTTTTCTGCTCAGAAAGCATGTTTATAACATTTGCTGCATTCAGAGGATGTTTATCTGTTTTTGCTTTAATTTGTTTTAAAATTAAGCAGCAGAACTGTTTCTCCACAAAAGATTAAAAATTGTTCTAATTAGTATTTTCTTTGCTTGTGTTTTTTTCTACTTTTGTTTATCCAGTTGTTTAAGTGAGCTAATTTTTTGTTTGGTTTTGTGATTAAAATGTTATATGAATGAATGATTATGTGGGTATATAGTTCTGAATTTTCAGAAGTACTCTTAACATTTTTGAATTTAGTTAATTTTGCCTTCAAACCAGCAGGGTTGGACCGGGATAACCGTGAATAACTGCATCAGTTTTCTGTTCTGCTGAAAAGTAAAAGTCACAATTGAGTTGGTTTGAAAATGTGTTGAGGAGAGATACAGTCTGTGTGGGAAAGAGGGAGCTGCCAAGCAAATAGGAGGATGTAAAAGGAAAAAGAAGAGGTGGTAAAAGGAAAAGATGAATGGTTATAGTGAGGGTTGACATGCCTGGCTAGATATTTAGGACAGGAGGATATGGAGACATGATCTTTTCAGGTAAAAAAAGATAAGCTACAGTTTTGATCTGCAGATTCTGCCCACACTCTGGCAGAGTTTTAGGATGTTTTTGTGAGAGTTTGAGAAAATACATTTTCCACATTTAAATTGCAAAACAAAAAAGAAGGCATTTAAATTAACCGCTGTAGCTTTAAATCCATTTGTGCTTCGTTTATACATCATATGTTGTTAATTGACCTTAGATGTTGCTGCTGGTAGGTCATCAGAGCTCCGTCTGTCAAGCTTTCGTAATTTTTCAAGAGGAAGTTTTGGGTATTTCTTATGTTGTTGTGATGTCTGAATTGTGTCTCTGCATATGTTGTATTTATTCATGTACAAAACATTTAACCCCATTTGTTCTTTCACAGATATATTACAATGCACAATATGCAACCCCCCCTTTTCTTTTCAATTAAGTAACTGAAAAGGACTGATTGGTCCATCTGCTGTTTTGCTCAAAGAACTTTCCTTCTAGCATTGTTCCTCAACAGTGTTTTCCAGTATAAAATTATGTCGTTTTTACTGCCATTCAGCAATGATGCTGAGAATTTTATGATGTTTAAAAGCGACTCTCTGATTTCTTTTTATGAAAAAAGTTTAGCAGTGATAAAGTAATTTCTCTGTAACCATGCTGACCTTTAGCAAATAGTGAAAATGAAGGCAGTTTTATTCTAAAAGATGAGCCTGTCGACTCTCTTCTGCTCAGGCCTATTAATGATGTCTGCATTCACCCCTATTAGTGTTGCTGCTTGGCTTATTTTTAATCTGAAATAAACAATTTTTTAAATACATTTCTTGTAAAATATGTTAAACTATGAATTATATTCCACAGTGAGGTGTATATTTTGATTCCCCTCTACCGTTTTTCTGCTTTAGATCCGACCATACGTAGGCTGTTTGGTTCAGTACCTGCCCCTGCTCTGGAAACAGTCTGAAGAACACAACATGCTCCGATGTGCCATACTCACTACACTCATCCACCTTGTGCAGGTACCATTCATTGCATCCTTATGTATACTCTGCAATGCTTATGTTGTGTCAAGCACAAATACCAGATCTTCTGTTGTGATATATGGATGCGTTTAGTACCTCTGGCACTTTCATGACTTTTCCATTTCTTACCGCTGGCCTAAAATATGCTTATCTCACAAATTGGTTATTCTTATAATATTTATGTGTGTCTTTTTCCAACTTTAATAGTCTTGCAAAAACTCAGAAGGTTCATAACACTCTGGTAGAAAGTGTATTAGGCCTGCTTCTGGCAGTGCAGAGCCTCATCTTGCAAGACATTTTTTATGAGTTGTCATTTCTGATCATTTGCTGCAGCATCACTTGAGTTTGCCACAGAGGTAATGAGAAAAAATAGCTCAGTTCATGAGCTTTGTCACCCACAGGAATGAAGCTTCCGCCTTACTCTTCAATATGCTTTGGACCCCTGTCTAGCTCAGCTGCATTACTTCATAGTGGCAGATGATTATGCCAAGCTCCCATTGAGAGCAACAGGAGAACGCATCTGGCAAACTAAGTGAAACTCATGGGGTTGAACAAATGAGCTTTGAGTTGCTTGACTGCTTTGGCTTATGCAGGGCCTTGCAGAACTGTTCTTGCCTGCCAAGGTTTAACAGGCCTTGACAGAGCAAATGCTAAAATACTAGCATTATTAGCCTCTAAGTGCTAATGGTTATTGTCTATTGCATGATGAATCTCTGCCTCAATATTGGCTCATTTGGAACCTGTGGTTAATGGTAAACTGTTGTTTTGTCTCTGATTTGTCTTGGTTTGTTCATTGATCTATTCGTGGTTTGTTGATTAATCCAACAAATTCCAAAGGCCCTATTAAAACATCAAATTTGTGTAGGCCTACATAAGTAAAGGCTAAATACAACACATTATTTGCAACACACTTTGAAAACTGCTTTCTAATCTTGTATTAAGACCCTACTTTATATTGGTGTTACACATGCATACTTATAGGGGGTCCAGTGGAACAGAATATGGAAAGGTTAAAGAGATTTTGGTTATTTTGCAATGCTTTGAACAAGTTTTATGATTTTAAAAAACCCTATTTTGCATGCTATTAACCATGAAGGAAATGCTTATCTTCTTGGTTGTTGGCAATCGTCTGATTTTTGTGTAGAAAGCAGAAATAAACAGAACTAATTTGGATGGAATAGAAAAGGTCAGTGTTTCTTACAACTGCAGCACCCCGACTTAAAGCAACAACAGTCCTGAAGCAGAATGGAAATTAGTCTGTTAAGCCTGTTTATTTTGACTATTAAACTTAAGTCCATCTGGCACTGGAGCAAACCAATCTTGTCTTCCAATGACCGCATAGCATTAAGTCAACTCTTAAGCTCATAAAAGCTGCAGTATTGACTCGCTTGTTTTTTAATGGATGAATTTTGCCCGTAAGACAAGGTTGTGCCAGCTGGGGTTTAAATGACGCTCTTGTTTCTTTTGAAACCCACATAAATGCAAGAGGGAACAAATTTAGTGTCGTGCTTCTCATAGAAACACTATTGAGAGTTCTGAAACTCTACTCTGGATCCTTTGTGCATTCACACAATTACGTTTCCTTTTTCCATGCCCCCTAACCCCCTTTCTTAAGTCTACAAACACTCTTTCCAGTGCTTCAGCATGACTTTTAGTGTTTTGTTTGAATAACTTATATGAAGCCAAATGTGGGAAGGAATTGGATGCGTTTTAAGGACACCATCAGTAAAGGGTTCAGTTTGATTCCCAGGACGCATGGAAAATATTGGAGCAGTTTCTGGGAGAATACTATAGCAGTTTTTATAGCTGATAACCACATCTTTGCTCTAAAAGATAATTTTTCTGCATATATACAGCTAAAACTGTGTATTCGCACACCTACTGTATAAAAATATTCTTAAACTGTCTGAGATCGAAGCAGATCAGACTCCTGGCGTTTAGTTAGGATTAGGTCAAATATTTTTTTTTTTTTTACCAAGATAAGAAAACATAATTGGAGAATTCCTCTTATTAAACAATGAATTAGTAGTCATCAGATGGTGATGTCATAACTCTTAAGCTCACTCTTATGTTTGGCATTTAAATGTTGGATATTTATAGATGTTTATCACATGGCTAAAAGGGGTTAAAACAAAATGAAATGGCTCTTTACACTTCATTACATTACTAAATAGACCAACCAGAGTTTTATTTAGGCTAAGCTGTAGCAATAACTAAATCCAAGGTGTTTAGACCCTGCAAGGTTGGTTTAAACGTCTAAATATTAACCTGTTTTCTACAGGGAAGTGACACTTTAATTTTCTTTTGCTTATTAAGTGCTAAATTGTATTCTACTTAATGGTGTAGGTCTAATTGATGCACTGATGATATTTTCATTCTTTAATTGGTTACAATTACTAGCTAATCTACATTCAGTTTAACCTCGTGCCTGCAATAAGGTTGCCAAGGTATCGAGAATGTTTTTATTCCCAACCACATCTAAAGTTTTAATATTTTCATCTCATTAGTGCTTTTTATGATAAATATATATATATACACACATATAATAATTTTATTTTTTTTAGCTATATCTGCATGTTATACTGAAGGCATGTTTTCTCCATGACAAAACAGTTTGACTTGGACCTCAACAGGGAATTATCTCCCCCAAAAAGATTAGTAGTTTCCTACTTACACACACATCATCCCAAACGTCATTAGAATCCAAATGACCAGGAAATGAGCTGTGACTCGGTTCCTAGAGTTGTGCTTCACTGTTTTCTTTCCCCTAAATTGTCAAAGGTAATGGGCCCACACTCTTTTATTGGGTCATCAAATTAACATATAATGTCCAAACTACCCTTGAAGCTTGAAGGAAGTATTTTGCTGCAAAATCAAAAACTTAAAATATATGAAAAAAGGTTTTCTTTTGAAAGGTTAATGTTGATAGAACTTGGAGAAGCTGTACATGCCTTGCAGCATGTTCTTATGTTTTTGAAAGAAAAAAACTGAGTGTGTCAGTATGTGGTGGGAGAAAATGTATAAATCTGCTTCTCTGCTATGCTAGGCTCGTATGCGCAGCAAATAACTTAAATTAAACTGGAGCATGCACAGCAGAGGAACCCTTTGAAGCATCCTGTCTGCATCCATGTCATGCTGTCACTGTTTGGCATTGACTCTTGCATCCTTTTGTTCTTCCAGGGCCTTGGGGCAGAGAGTAAGAACCTTTACCCTTTCCTTCTTCCTGTTATCCAGCTGAGTACCGACGTTTCTCAACCACCACACGTCTACTTGCTTGAGGATGGACTGGAGCTTTGGTATGGATAAACATGCAGCACTCATACATTTCTGAGTACTGGAAAAAGAAATAAAAAAAGATTCCCAGGGGCAGACGTTTATGAAGCACTTAGTGATCTCATTTCATCCCTTACACACACGCCTACACACGCGTTCTTTATTTCTGCCTCTTTTCTGTGTTGCGCCTTTCAATGATGAGTCTTTTTAGGCTTATCATTCGTCAGCCTCATTTACCCACTAATGTTTGCTATCCCGTTTAGAGGGCAGATGCAAACAGTTCACAGATAAGTGTTGCTTAATGAGCTCACTTTTACATCTTGTTTAAATTGGCCTTTTCACAGACAGAGACGCCTGATGGTCACTGAATTTCTTGGATATTCTTGTCGCCCCCTAACTTTATGCAATTGTTTTGAGATCAAGTCATTTTAAAGCCACTTAAAGAACATTTTACAGAGGGGTGCAGTGTCCTGCAAAGCAAAACAAAAGGTTTTTCAAGAATGTACACAGTTTGCCTCTCATTTTGCATTGTGCAGCCCTATATCTCCATCCTGTCTTTCATCCCATCTATGGAGCAGCACTGTCCTGTGTGGGTTTACTTTAAACAAGCCTCTGTCATTTTCTCTTGCTTTTATCTTTCAAGAGTTTTTTTTTCTCTGTCATTTTTAGTGTCTCTCCTGTTCCTTTCCTGTCGTCCTCTGAGATTTATTGTCAAATTAGATTTCACGTTTTCCTGAAACCTATTGTTGCCTTTTGGAAATTGGAGGATAAATCTAAATCTGTGCATGTAGGGTTAATAGTTTCACTCAGTGTTCCCAGTTTTCAAAGCAGCAGAGCAGCAGAACTAACCAGATCAGCCGACGTTTTTAGGAGATATTCTTTTTCATGACAATTAGTTTACTGCTAGGTTAAGCAGAGTAATAAATACCCCTTAGTCATGATTAACGACTGTAGAGCTACGGCTTGGGTTTAATTATGACAAATTTCAAACTGAATGTTTTTTGAAAAACATTTATCCAGCACATACAATGAAATTACATCTCCACAGCAGCCATGTAATGGTGCAGTGGAAGCACTGCGCATGTGTGACTGTTGTTTTACAGGAAAACAGAGGAGCCCGTTTAATCTGTGCTCTGACTGAAGACACGGTTTTCAGCTGAGGCTGATGACCTGCCAGTGTTTTGGAGGTAGAAACGGCCCGCAGCAGAACTGGATCAGGGCAGAGATCAGAGCTTTCATGTGTTGCGGCTTTAATGTTTATGTTGTGTGTGTTGGGTTCTTCCACAACATAGAAAACAAAGTTTTAAGATTTAAGAAAACCAATTTCAGTCTTAACATGGTTGGTATTAGTGTCTGTCTGTCTGTCTATCCATATATCTATATATCTATCCATATATCTATATAGATATAGATAGAGAGATATAGATAAATATAGAGTCTTGAAAAAGGCATGAAAAAGTTTTGGCACCCCTATTAATCTGAATTATTTTATTTCTAAATATGTGGGTTTTGCAACAGCTATTTCAGTTTGATATATCTAATAACTGATGGACATAGTAATATTTCAGTATTGAATTGATGTTTATTGGACTAACAGAAAATGTGCAATATGCATTGAAAGAAAACCTGACAGGGGAACAAAAATTGGGTAACCTACCGGTAATCATTTTATTGATTTTAAATACCCTTAACTACTTTTCACTGACTTACTGAAACAGAAAATTGGTTTGGTAACTTCATTAAGATTTGAACTTCATAGCCAGGGCGCTGATTGGTTTGTTTACAACAAGCGAAGCTGCTGAGCAAAGACGCATCATAGCAACAAGCACTCACTCACTGAAACATCGAATTGTTATGTTAGGTTGACCAGACGTCCTCTTTTTCCCAGACATGTTCTACTTTTCATACCTAAAAAAATGTCCGGGTTGAATTTCAAAATCATCAGGGATTTTTGTTGACTGCTGTGCAGCAGAACCGAGCCAACAGCTCTGGGGCTAGTCCGGAACTCCCGGTGACGGTAGCCTGGACAACGGCGGCCACGTGCCTTACCGGGCAGGCGGGGGAAGCATACCGTCATCGGGTCAGGTTCGGACCAGCCCCGGAGCTGATAGGTCGGTTCGAATGCCCGGTCCGGTCTGATCCAGTCAGCGGCCCAGCAAATAAGGCAACATCCCCTAATTGAAGTCAACTCTGGCCTTTGTTTGAATTTGTCCATCTTATGGTGGAAGTTTAGAATTGTGAGATTTGCAGAGAAAGGAGGTCTCAATGTGGTTTGAACTTCTCTGTACGTCCATTTCACCCACTGAACTATCGCTATTCATCTGACAATGTAAACTCTGTTTTGCATTCTATGACCCCTTTAAGCCCAGAAGTGGAAGGCCAAGAAAAATATCAGAGAGGCAGGGAAGAAAAATTTTCAGAATGGTCAAGGACAACCCACAAACCACCTCCAAAACCTGCAGCATCTACTGACCTTTCTGTGTTTTGGGCGAGTTTAGTAACTTCATGTAAAACTATCAATCATTACTGTTACTGCCTCTGCATAACAAGCTCCCCCAAGAGTCACTTACTACTTACGTAAAAATTGTGTCACAATCAGCTGCATCTACCTGCAGCACAGAGCAAAGAAAAGCAGAGAGGAGACACGTTTGATTTTCTCATAGGCAATAAACAATGAATACGCAAAGCTGCCCATGTTTCTTCCCAGAATTACAAGGCTGGAAATAATTACAATGTGAATAAAGTTTTTAATAGAATCTCTTCTTTTTCTGAAACTGTTAAACTACAATAATTACCTGATTTTATCCCAGCTTGCATAACTTACTCACTTCGTAATGCTTATGCCTCTGTTTACCATTTTTTAAGTAAATTTAGATGTATGCATTGTGGCTTCAGGAAATGTTTAAAAATTCATACATTATTTCAGAAAGTATGGTTTACTTTTTTATGCTCCCCAGACCGCCCCCATAGGCCGCAACAGTAATAAAAAATAAATACTAGACAGAGCCCTGCTTAGTGAATTATTTTTGGGTTACAGCATTGAAACTTCCATCACGAAGCTGATATTGGATGCTTCTGTTACATTGCCACATATAGGGATTCATAACACTCCCATACCAGGAGTTATAGGTCAAATTAAATAACATTTTTGAGGAGTCAAATCACTGTATCGTGTAAAGGAAAAGCCAAACCAACCAAACCACATCAGTCCTACAGGATTAACATTGGTGATCTACCCAACCCTAGAACTTAATCTTAATAGGAGAGTTCTGGGATTATAACAAACATGCTGTTTCTGAAGTAAGAGAAGTTGAGAATCTAATCTGATCAGCCTGGACTAGAAAACCAGCTCTTGGGTTGCAGAAGATGGTTGACTCACCGCAACACAGATGTGAAGCACTTCATGGGGAATGTGGCTTCAAAACTAGATTTCAGTCCAGGGATTTATGAACAAAACAATACAGAAAAACTACTTCATTCTGGAAGCAATTTTTTGCTGTTGCTGCAAATGGTTAACCTTGAAAGTTAAAACCCATTGTTTTATTTGCATTCTGTAAAGCAATAACAAATTAGATGTTTCTGTTCTGAATAGTGTGTAATGTTCACAATATATTAACAGATTCTTTTCCTACATTAGTCCACATAAAATAAAATTAAAATTACTACCTTTTTAAAAGTACATTCAGCACATTTTTCTCTACTTGGTTTGGTCTTTGAAAAAAAAAAGAAGGTTGAGCAAGTCAGACCTCTGAAAACTGCATCAGTATCAGCCAAAAAAAATCGCTCGATCTTCCTGCAATGTTTTTAACTTCACAGATTATTTGGACACTGATGATGTTTCAAATAATTTATGCATCTTTCAGAATTCAGGAAATTTATTTAGAGCATTAAACAGCCCAAATATTAATGACATTTCTCTTTATTTCTTCGTTTTTTTCTTAAAATGCCTTGTAGCTTTCTCCCAATATATTTTTTTTTTACTATAATCAATCAAATCAATCAGACTTAATTTACAGAGCCATTTAAACTACCAACCTTTGTAACATTCAATATCTATCAGAAATTAAGCAAAACAATAGATTTACAGCAGAATTATTAGAATAAGATGTAGTGAGAGCATAAAATCCCAAAGATAAAAGACCAAATAAAAGCATCGGCTCTGTTGGAATTATGATTCCTCTCCTTTTATATCCTTTTGTGCCTTTTCACCTCCTTCACTCTCTTGTTTTTCTCCATCTTCATGATGTCTGTGGTCTCCCTTTACTCTCTGTCTGTAATTTGTATTGTTGCGTTTTTCTGACCTGTTCTCTTTCTGCCGCCTGTAATCCGTGTCCTTTGCACTTTTGTCTTATATCATCAGCTCATTTTCTGCTTCAACATTTCTTATCTGCTTTGTTCTTCATGTCTTTACTCCTCCTTAATGTGTGTTCTCCCCCTTTCCTCCCTGTCATTGTGTAGGTTGGTGACTTTGGAGAACAGCCCAGCTATCACTCCAGAGCTGCTCAGAATCTTCCAGAACATGTCAGCTCTGCTGGGTGAGCCTACAAAACATTTCTTTTGTCTTCTCATTATCTGACTGGGTGTGTGCAAATGTTTCGTCTTAAGAATATTATGCATTAACATATACATTGCTCAAAAAATGATAGGGAACACCTAAACAACACAATCACTCAATTAAACTCAACTTTTGTGAAATCAAACTGTCCACTTAGGAAGTGACACTGATCGAGAATCATTTTCACATGACAATCATTTTCTGGTGAGCACAACCCTCCATGTGCTCGTCAGTGGTTGCACCACAGACTGCCAGGAGTTGGTGGATGCTTTAGTTCAGGTCAGAGAGGAGATCCCTGAGGAGACCATCTGCAACCTCATCAGGCGAATGCCCAGGCATTGTAGGGAGGCCATACAGGCAACACACAATACTAAACCTCATTTTGACCTGTTTTAAGGACATTGCATCAAAGTTGGATCAGATGGTATAGTGTAGTCCTTTCACTTGGCCTTATTTTGCATTAAAGGCTTTGTTCTAAAAACTTCCAAGCATTTTGTTTCTTTTTTCTAAGCATTTCATTCAAAAATGTGTCTTTTATCTTAGAACCATTGTTAATTTCATCAGATCCATTTTCTATCCCAGCTCTAACATCCTTGTGGTCTTTAGTTGTTGCTTCAATATTCATAGATGCTGCTCTTTAACCATTAAGCCTTGTATTTGCTGAAGTGCACTAATCCCTCCTTTAAAGCGCCCATACAACATAACTAGGGTTGGGAACGGGTTGAATTTTAACAATTCCAATTTTTCCTTGTTTTATTTCTGTTTCCTGTTTATCCACTGGTTCCTACTGATTCTAATTATTTTAAGAGAGGTAAAAAAAAAAAAAAAAGTTTACATGTGTTAAATGAGCTGGCTAATCATCAGGATGAAATAGTGTGCAGTTCTTTATACATATTTTTTTATTTCTTAAACTTTTATATTTCTGTAAACATTCCAATAAATTCTAACATATTTTTTTACCAGCATATAAATATGAAACCTATGAAGTCTAACATAAATCTTATGAATTTCATTTTCATATCATTTAATTTTTACATGAAGCTTTCTTTTTTAAAACATCATTAAAACTCAATCACACACATACAGTGTCTGATGTTGCAGGTACCGTTCCGGTATAAGACAATTTTATTATTTTATTTGCCTGATTCTGACCATGGTGCAGTGCTAGACTGAATGTTTTTCTCTCTCTGCATATAGTTATTAGTGTGTTTATAAATTTAGTTATTTTTCTTTGTACTGGAAAACAAATCCTGGACTCCTTTTTTTATAGCAAACAAATCCTTAATAAAGAATGCTGTACACAAAGACAAAAAAAACAACCTAATGTTTACAGTACAACAGTTGAGTTGCTGAAGAAAGGTGTTGTCATCAACAGAACTACATACATTAAATTTTTTTGGCTATCGATTGCTTTGAAGACCAATGCACGGACACAATGCATCTTGGCTACTACTTCTGTAGGAGGCTATGAGTGGTTGGAGATTGAATTGAGCTGGTTGGATGATTTATTACGAGTTTAGGTCACCAAGACACCTTGCAAGTTGTCCATGTGTGTTCATTTAATTTTAGATTGCAATAAGTCAGACTAATACAACAGCTTTTGTGATCTTATTGGCTTTGCTGCAGCATCTGTTCTGTCTGTCTGGACTGTATAGACTACATAGGGCACAGAGAGCCGAAAGGCTATGGATCACAGTAATAGTCGAGGAGGGAATTAAAGAGGATCAAGGAAAAGAAGAGGTTGATGGAACATAACAAGAAGGAGGTGGATGAAAACGGATTCAAGTGGCAATGTTCGGAAAATCCCCGAAGATGAAGAAGAGGTTGCATGCAAGGCTTGGACATGGATGAATAGAAAGATAAGGGAGGCTCTTATCATCTTCCTCACAGAAACCATTTTATTTATATATATATTTTTAAAGCATCACTTTAAGTCAGTTTAAAATGTATAAATAAAGTCTAAAAGAATTATACGCTGTATGCTGTAAGGAGACAGACACCTATATCTGAGGGTGCTTTGCATGAATTATATTCAATTTAGCATAGGCTTTATCAGAAAGGGCATAAAAAGATCATTTATTTATACTTGAAAGGAAGGCAGACTTTGTAAGATGAATTTAAAACAGACACAGTTGGCACTAATATTTTACACTGAGAAACTGGGAGCTAATTGGCTGTATCTAGATGAGTAATGAAGATGTTTAAAAGATTCAGTGAACACTAATCAGCTGCCATATGAAGTGTTTCTGGTGATGAAGTGAGAGAAGGTCGAGAATGTATTTTTAGGAAGAGATTGTTAAACTTCAAATGGAGGTTAAATGATAGACCATAAAAGACGGAGAGGTCGTAAGACTTTTGCTTTGGTCACACAATTCTAATTTGATAATCATTATATGCTAAGAAATCACCATACCGCTGTTATAACAGCACAAACCAAATGTGTGTAGTGTTGTTAGGACAAACTGTTCAGACAGCTGTATATACCATCCAGATTTAAATGTTTATTTTTACTCTTTTAGCCCCTAAAGATGCATGTAACAGTTTGCTGTAAATCATTTTGAATTGCATGCATCATGCTTCCGTTACACAGCTTTGGTGCTGTTTGTGTTGATGATAGTCTCATACAATGTCAATAAGATAGTCTGATGTTGTATAGTGATAGGAATTGAGTAAGTTATCTAAAAGGGGTATAAATAGACCCCAGCATTAAAGTATATATATTTAAAAAGGAAGACTTTCTGCTATAACTGATTGAGCCTGTGCCATAGACCATTGTTAAGTGCATATGAGCTTTTTTGTTATTGTTGTGCATTGGTTTGTAGATGAAGTCACAAGCAGACAGAAAGGAATAAACAACAAAAAACAAACACAAAAATCTCCAACTTTTCAATTTTGTGCTTTAGCAGAAGGGGTGGCTGTATATTTCCCACTTTGTGTCCAAGTTTTAAGCTAAGCAGTTTGTCTGCTTAGATTCTACTGCCAGAAAAAGACTTAACAAAAGATGCCTTTGCTCTGCTGTTTTCTTTTACCAGATTTTAACACATAATTATGAGAACATGATAGAGTAGCCATGTAATTTAACTGTCTCCTTTGCCTCTTCCTTGTTACAGTTTTAAATGCTGCAGTAACATTTCAGGCTTATGTAATTGCAGTGTGATTTGAACTGCAGCAGCATGAAGTTAACAGCATCCTTCTGTCTGCTTTCATGTTTTCCAACAGTAATATAGCAGACATATTTTTTGTCACTGACGATGCAATCCAAACATTGTTGCAGAATGGTTTAACATGCTAAAGGTGTTACTAACAGATCTAGTCGATTTATTAGGTGCAATCTCATGTAATGCTTGTCTGCAAACAAATAAAGCAAATCATGATAAAATGTAATTACCCTTCTATGCCAATTAAGTTTTAAGAATAATCTGTGTTCTTATTCTTTTTGATTGCCCCAACTATAGACAATTATATAACATCGTTTTTTTATTGTTCCCTGGTAGGGAATTTCTCATTTGCCAACTATAAGTGATACATAAATGAAAGCATACAGATCTAAATAAGGAAAAACCAAAAGTTAAAAGAAAAAATTGAGAACTCGAGACTTAAGAGTAAGGGCAAATTTGCAAACTAACTGTGCAGATATTAGCTGTTAAAAATAGAAAAAAAGATCAAAGAAGTGTGTAGCTCAGGTGGGTTTCTTCAAGAAATGTGCAAAGACATAAAAACAGAAGATATATAAGCATATAGTTGAGTTTGTTGGGAGCAGTGGTGGTTATAAGTCTAGCTTCCCATTTAGATGGTGCACAGCACTGTTTGAGGAGAATTTTGCAGTAAAGACACACCCATTATGATCAATGAGAATTTCTACACAGGGCAGTGATGGGCGTCTGCTATTTGCCAAAAATGTTTTCCATTTGTTATTGGATACCAAAGCCAGTTCAGGGTCAATCTACAGATTACACCACACCATGGTATTTATGTGTACAGACTTCTCTGTAGATACTGTAAACCAAATCAGTTAAGCAGTTTAAAAAATGGATTTCCCTCTTCTTATGTTGGAACTCTTCCCTATGACTGACTTCCAGATTTATCACAAACTTCATTGCTCAATCTTAGCGCACTTCTTGGAGCAACCGTGAGCTCACAGTGGAGTGGATCAAAGCGCTTAGTGTAAATACGGACTACAACCAATAACAAGGTGCAGAGAGGACCACCTTGGAGCAGCAAGCAGTATAAAACCAGAGTAACAGTTGCTGGGAGGAAGGAACTCTGATAACACTCCTTTTTGCATCTTGGATACAAGATGTCACTGCAACAGCTATCTAGCTCTAGCTCTGCAGTAGCTTCCTGAATAGCATGGGTTGGAATGTCCAGTAATGATGTAATTTTTGCAATCTTGCAAACAAACAAGTATTCTAACACATTCCTTCAATGAGTATTAACTGACATTTAAATGCAATTACTTGTCCCATTGCTACATCTCTTTTAAAGGACATTTAAAACATGTTAATAAATAAGGAAAGTCTTCTGTTTGGCTCATGTACCAGTTGTTCAGGGTGAGGATTTAGCCTTATCTTATCAATACTTTATCAGTACTTTTTCAATGTATAGACTACTTTCTGGGTTAGGAAAAGAATAAATATAAAAAAAAAAATCCTCAGTTGATGTATTTGTGTTCTATGGTTCAATCTAGTAACATGGAAGTTAGTCTTCTGTTACTTGACTCATATCCCTACTAGAAACTATCATGCCATGTGCATCTGCTCTGGGTTTTTAATGAATATTGGTCCAAATCTAAACTAAACAGCCAGTAAATCAGGACTCAGACCATAGCCCCATGATTTTGAAACCGTTCCAAGAACGGTCCGAGCACGATAACAGAGATAAATGTTGAGTGTAAATGAAACGCAGCTGAACTGGACCGTGCCAGACAAAACCAAAACTGTCTACATCAAGTACTAGTTTAACATTAGGGCTCGGCACGGT